CCGCTACCCGCCGCGATCAAGTTCGAACTGCTCTGGGAACTCCTCCTCGCAGATCCCACGGCCTAGAACACGGATTTCTGTCTTATCTTTGCGGGATTGTAACACCATATGAGAAGGGATGGTACTTTATGTATCTAGGCGACTTTGGAGTTTATGTGTCCGTGTCGGCGTCGCGGCACGAGTTTAAATGCGAGGCACATGCGCTGGATGTTTGCTCGGATCAAAAAGTCCAAATCGAAAGGGGACAGCCAATGACTCAGTCGGAGGCGGCAGAGTGTCTTCTTCCAAACTACCGTCCATGCAAAACACAGACAGGGTCCTAGACCCCTTTCAAACGATGTCTCACATGGTTGAGGTAGGACGGAGATGCACAAGCCAATCCACCGCAGCACGTTCTCATTTCCTCGCTCCTGATTGGTCAACGCTTAACTTCAGCCAATGTCCGAGCTAGAATTGATCGCGTGCCTCAACTTGTCGACTTGACACTCTTCAATGCTTCCTTGACCTTGACGTTGGGAACATCTCTCATCATGTCCAACACAGCACGGTTCTGGCCAACTAATTGATGAAAGGTACAAGCTAGAAAGGTGCGACTACTGCTGTGGAGGTATCTTATACCTTGGACTACTAGAGAAACCTCTTGCAACCACCCAGTATCTCTAATAATCCTTCCCCATAATCGTTTTCATGATCGGGCGTCGCGTTTTCCTATCGTTTAGAGGACGTCGTCCAAACTAATCTCTTTAACTTCACAACATGGACTTGTGAGTTCTGAACCTCCCGACAAACCTTCAAACGAGTCCGTGGTAATACCCGGCCTTGAATATATTCCCTACTCAGTACCCGTACAACCAGGAACTTACTTTGTTCCAATACTTCTATAAATTTGGCCTGAGAGGGTATCCTGACGAGGCGTATTATCATATACCTAGCAAGAACAACTGAGAGATAACACTACTCAAAATGCCACGTCCAAGAATGCTACCAACACCGGCGTCTTCTACCGAGATCAAGGGCCAAGACCACTCGCATCAGCTCTCTACGTTACAAATGTCCTTCGAACTGCCCCCGTCAGCCCTGGGGCCCAATGCCAACTCTCGCACCCCAAACTCTGGGTCAAAGACGTTACCTGTATCTCCACCAACATCTGAGACCTCGTACCCGTTCCAGCCCAGCGAGACTGTCAAGAGGAGGCGCTCCTCCGCCGCGCAGAAGGAGACATTTGCTCTGCCTCCTCCTCCCACGAGATCTCGTAGGATCATACAGATGAAGCCCCGCCCCCAGGAAGAACCAACAGGGCAGGCGACGCAGGAGAAGACGGCCTCTGCAGGCACCGCCAAGAGTATGGGTGGTGCCGGGTCTAAGAGGAAGCAGCCGTCGGCAACCAGCGCCGCAGGAAGGAAGATTGCGAGAAAGACGGCGCACAGCCTGATTGAGCGTCGCCGGAGGTCGAAGATGAATGACGAGTTTGCGGCGCTGAAGGAGTTGATCCCCGCCTGCACCGGGGAGATGCACAAGCTGGCCATCCTCCAGGTATGTCCAAGGAACCGCACCATTGCTGTCACGCCGCCTCATTGATATTCATGCTTCTAGGCCTCTATCGAATATCTGCGATATCTGCAGGACTGTATCACAAAGTTGAAGGAGCAACGCGACGACCGGTCATCGACCCCGGCGCAGCCCCAGTTCAAGCTGCCCGTCTCAACCGATAACGAGACGGACGAAATAGACGACGACGAGGTCGACGAAGCAAAAGGCCAAGAGGATGTCGAAATGACGAACTCGGAGTCGCCCTCGCCAGGATACACCAATCGCTTGTCCATCTCGCCGACGCTGATGGCGCAGGACGCGAGAGGGAGACAGCACTCGTACTCGTCGGTGTCGACCGAGTACCGCCACTATAGCTATACGGCGCCGGCGACTACGTCTCCCGCCTTCGCCCCCCAGCCGTATCCGCAGCACGTCGGGTCCACGTCCGCGTCCCACTCGACGCTCACTAGTCCGGCCTTGCGGCCGCAGCAAGAGCTCGACCAAGAGGCGTCCGCGGCGCTGCTGATGCTGAATGTGGACCGCAGGGGCACGAGCAACAGCGAACCCGGGAGAGGCATGAGCGTTAAAGATTTGCTAAGCTCGTGAGTTTCCTTCCTTCATTAGCAGAGTGGGTGAGGCTCTCTATACTTGCATTTACAGGAGGGTTAGTTGGAAACTAGGGCCAGGTAATATATACAAGCGGTGTTTTTTTGGTAATAAAACAGAGTTAGCGCCGATGTTAACCCTACAGAAAGGGTATCTTGAGAAGCAAATGTTACTCGGGGTAGATGTTCATGTTAGATTATAATCGTCGCTCATTCGCCACGATGGTCAACGAAAGCCATTGATATAAGTTCGCCATGCCATCGGTACTGTCTAGTAGGACAACTGTGGGAGAATATTGTGCTGCTGCGTTGCAAGATATAAGTTTTGCCACAGAGTCTGTTCAAGGTGCACAGCTTTTTTTTTTTTTTTTTTTCCTTTTGTTTTAGAGAAAAAAAAAAAACATAAAAAGATATATTCAGGGTCTAATCTACAATCCTATGTAGCCTTAACTAATATATTCAAGACCAGGACTCTCTTAAACCCGGATGTCATTCTCCGGGTCTACATCTATTTAAGACATCACCAATAGGCACAATGGGCGTGGGTTTAAACCTAATGCGGTATTCTCTTCAACAAAGGCAGTCTACCTGTGCTCGTCGTTTGACGAAAACAATTGTTGCAGTACCAGGATCAAAGAAATGTTAGATTCTCATAATGCAGAGCTACAATATTTGCTACTGTGATGGCTTGGCATGGAGACCACCAACGACATCATTTTGGGCACATTTTCCTACTCGCGCCGACGGCGTAATACTTTACAGCGATGGACTTCGCATTCTTAGGACAGTTTTTTATGGGCCTCAAGTTGGAGGACTTCAAAGAGGCGAGGGAGGCTGCATTGGCAGATCAAATTTCGACATACTTTACGAAGCCGAACGAAAAGCTTCAATATCTCGGCCTAGCGGGCGTAGGGCGCCGTAAGCCAGGATTTATTTTTCATCGATTCACATGTGTATTTTAATAAATATCTATACTGATGATTTTCTCACAGATGGCGGTGCCCTCCTTTTTAACGAGCGGGATGACGACGGCAAACCAGTTCGGAAGATTATCGTCAAGTATTCGCTAACCGAGGAGGCCGACGCGGACCTGAAGAACGAGGCGCAATGGCTGAATCATTTGAAAGGCGCGGAGCACATCGTCCAGGTGCTCACGCTCCCAGGAGCGTCCGTCAACGTGACGGGTACGGGGAGACGCCCCACCGTCGCGCTCGAGTTCATCCCGCACGGCACGATTCATGAGTTTCAACAGAGATTTGCCCGGTTCTGGGAAAACAGGGGCGCGGACGGAACTCCAACGCTCATGCCGGCCCGGTTTCTGTGGTGTGTCTTTCTCTGTAGTAAGTAAGATATCCGCAACCCGTCGGCCATCGCGTGGAGCTAGGTAAAACCTCACTAACTTCTCCAGTGGTACGACAGATAGCCGCAATGTCTTTTCCTCCCCGGGAGTCAAATCCAACTGCGGAGAACGAGCGCGAGTTCCCCAGGACGGGAGCAGCAATTTGCAACTTGACGCAAAACTCACCTCACTCCAACAACTTCGTGTTCGACGTCTTGCAGGAGGGTGATTCTGAGCATGACATGATACCTAGAGTTAAGGTAAGTATCGATCCCATGTCCATATCAGGTTAACCTATGTGGTTATATAGGTAGTCAGCTAACCACTCGGATAGATGATCGATTTCGGACGTGGCAAGTTGGAACAGAAATACGGAGACGCTTATATGACTAACGTCTGGGGTGCCGCATATGTAAGTGTTGGCCCTCCTCCCCGAAACCCTCTCGGCCGACTAACACACCCACTAAAGGCGATAACGTGCCTTGCTCTGCCATTCATCAGCGACGAGAAGCTCCGCCCGGCGATCAGCGAGGTCGAGCTGACGGAGCCGATCGTCGTGGGCCGCGAGAGCCACGCGGTCATCTACACGGAGGCGTCGACTCTGTTCACCGACATGCCGCTGATGGACTGGAAGCTGCGCGACACGATAGCGCGGTGCATGGGCACGCACCCGGTCACCATCCCGACGCTTCCGGAGCTCCTGGCCATCTGCGAGGACTCGGTCGCCAACCGCCGGCTCGCCGACTTCGACCTCCCCGACCAGCCCTTCCTCCGGGACCGCGAGAGCGACCGCAACCTCCAGGCCCTCGTCCAGCACCTCGTCTACGACGCCGACGCCGACGCCCAGCAGGCCCGCGCCTCCGGCCGCCCCCTCCACAACGGCCAGCTCGGCTCCACCCTGCTGGGCCTCGGCGCCGCCGGCCGCGCCGCGCCCGCTCCCGCCCCCGCCAACCATAACGTCGTGTGGCCCGGCGGCGGAGAGGGATCCGCCGGGGGCGTCGGGGTCAGGCTCGCCAGGGTCTTCGCCGAGAGGCTGGCCTCGTCCATGTTCAACGCCAGGCCCGCCCCGGCGCCGGCGCCGACGTCGGAGGACGAGGACGATGGAAAACCTAAGACGTTGTATGAGGGGTTCAAGCGGAGGATCAACAACATGAGGAAAGCGAGGAAAGGCCGTAAACGCAAACCTCAACGGTCCCCGGCTCCGTCGGTAGATTAGGGGGGGATATTAACTAGATGCTGTACGTTTTGCACTGTTTGCGTTTTAGGGTTGTTTCGACGGAGATCTTTGGGCCCTTATATCATGGAACTGGAATGGTGTATATAGCTACATGGAGTAGTAAGTGTGCGGGTGGTGAATACCAGCCATGTGAATTCTCAGGGAAAGGCTCATTACCAGTACGTACGTACGTACTTATACTTCATTGCACTCCCACCTCGAAAGGGGCTTATACATGTTACGGCTATTTGCTTATAGGACTAATTTCTCTATACCACAATCACACATCCATACCCAGAAAGACTATGTGAGCTTTGTGGTATAGTTGGCTATCACGTCAGTTCAATATACTGAAGGTCTCCAGTTCGAGTCTGGACGAAGCTATCATTTTCTTCCATATTTACACTTGAAGTCTTTTTTTGCCGTTTCTCATCATATATAATAGTGTTTCTAGTTCAAATCCTGATATATACTCACTTATTCGGTATATTGGAGCAGTGTGTCTGGTAGTGCGTGCGTTTGTTTAAACCTGAAGAGGGCTAAAAGTAAATCCAAACCAGCACCCGTCGGAAAAAAAAAAAAAAAGGAATAACTGAAGGAAAAATCAAAAGAAAAAAATGTAATTTGCCGAGGGCCAGATTCGAACTGGCGACCTCCGGGCCTGCCGGACACTGGGGGGCAATCCACTAGATCCCTCTTCGCTGTGACTGGCATCCACGATGGTTTCTGGTTTTCGAAATGTGGTGTCTTGTCATCCGCGGTCTGGAGATCTAGTGAATTACCCGCCAGACCTGCTTGTCCCGGTATCATACCACTAGACCACCCCAGCCTCTTTGTCTCCCTGTCTTTTTTGTCTTCGGGGTTGTTGAAAATGGGTACTGTACTCCTACCTTATGACTCTTGAGTCGCGGAGGGGCACAGTTGCTCCAGGGATGGCGGGGCAGCGTCGGCGCGGGGAAGAATGGCGGCACCAGCTGGTTGTTTCGAGGGGCACAGGTGGTTTTTCTGTTAGATGCTCAAATTGCCACTAATCCGCGCCCAGGGCTGTAGTCTGCGAAGGTGGCATGCTACTTAAATAACTATTATGATCCGGCGCCGGTGCGGACACTGATATTCCAAAGCGGCTATGAGATTGCCCATTTACATGCCGGGCATATTGATATTTCTTTGGTTTTTAGAGTGGTGGCACTTAGAAATCGGTAATCTTGCATACTCGATTCGGCCGTGTCCTTCGTCCGCGTCCGGCGACCGAAGACTTAGTAACGGAGGATTATATAATGATTACCGGATCTAGGTTACATCTTAGAAATGGGCCATCGGAGATAGTATGGGAAAAGATGTTCTCGTAAGCCCGTTTAGTAATAGCAAAGATTATGGCTGTTGGTACCGAAATAATTAAATATAAATTCAAAGAGCAAATTCACGTGTATTTAAACTCATATATCGCAGTTGATAATTCATTCGTTTTTACCAAGCAGCCGATACCTTAACTCCCTCAAGTTCCAACTCATCGTTTCACCGTTATCATGGCGACCAGCTCCCCCCTCCACGCCAAGCTCGACGCGCTCTACGAAGTGTGGTCAAAGCTATCCCTCGAGTCGCGCCCCACAGATTTCCAAGCGTTCGCCGACTTCTTTTCCGAGGACTGCACAGCGTGGCTGCTCAGCATGCGCGAGTTGAAAGAACCCAGCATCGGACGCGAAGGAGTCATCGCGGGCGTCAAGGACGTCTTAAAGCACACACAGATCCGGGAGCGCCGCGTAGTAGACCGGTTCGAGAGCGCCAACGGGTCCAAGATCTCGGTGGAGATGGAAAACAGCCTCGTGGTACACGGCAGAGACGTGGATACGTTCCCCGAGACGGCGACGGCGGTGTTTAACGAGCAAGGGCTGATCACGGACTTCAAGCTGTATTGCTGCCGCAGCCCGGTGGTGGAGATCATTCAGGAGGTGACGGGTATCGGACCTTATGCAATCACGAAGAAGACTGATGGCGAGAAGGGAGAAAAATGTCACTAGCTGGCGGTTAGGGAGGCATGTTGAAAGAACATTGAGACGAGGGTTAGCTATACTGCAGTGAAAAATGGACTAATACTTATGAATAAAGCGCTCTCCCATGTTGAAATGTGTAATTTCAAACTGCTCGCAAAGAAAGGAGCAGTTTGACGTCGTGGATCCCACTTGAAACAGCTCTAGCCGTTGATGTTGAACTGGTAACTCTCTTTGAAGCGGGGATTCAAACGCAGCTCGATGTGTCTCTCAAGCTCTTCGATGGCCTATGAAGCAATCTTCATGCTCCACCTGATATACAAGTTCCGACTTCGGAATTATGTCATAATAAATGTGTGCTTGCTTGTGTTAGTAACATGTCTCTGACCTAGCTTAATAGCCGCTGGATTTCATGGGTGATGACCTCCTACCTGGACGGACGCGTATGCCTAGGGAAACGTGACATACAAGGATATATATACTCCAAGCTCTATCATTTTTGTCTTCAATAATCTGCATCAAGTGTTAGCGAATAGTGCAGAGCCATTAACGCGCATTACATATACGGAGGTACTTAGAGTATAACTGGAATAGGAAAGTGGAGTTACGCGTCTCGATATACGATTGGCTCCGGCAACTGTTACTTAATGCATGCTGCCGCATGTAAGCAAAACCCCCCGGCCCCGGTGGTGTGTTGTAACTCGGGGCTATATTGTTAGCTAGAGTACGTGTAAGTAGCAGATTGGCGTAAACCTAAACACGCAGTAGTCGGGTATTTATAGCTGTGCCCTAGGTCCTCTTATGCCTAGATCTCGACTTACAAAATAAATATTAACTGCTGTCACCTATCGTGACCATGTATGGGAAGCTCTGTCGCTACAGGCGAAGCCGGCAGTTCCGTTAAAGGCCTATGTTCCAACTCGACGACCACTTGATCACACTGCAGCGCCTCGAGCACAGCCGTCCGTCTATCATATATCCAAGTCCCGGGCATGGTCGCCCCCGCAGCTTCGGGCTGTAAGGGTGCGGTAACCCCTATTGCGGAAGCCGGAGTTTGCGCCGTGCTCAGTCTTATCGTCGCGTCACGATCCGGTGCTGCTCCATATGCTTTTACTGCGCTTAGACTGTATACCGCCGCGCTAACTCCGACCGCGGCTGGTGCATTGTTTCTTAGCACACTCAGCCCGGTTATTCCGCTACGGCTCTCTGCCGTCTCCGTTCTCGGACTGGTGTTTTAGCTTTGCGCGGCTACCGAAGAGCCCCCGTCGCGAATAGAAGGGCCGCGCTTGAGGAGGATTGACGACGAGACATCCCGTGCGGGATTGTTTCGTCTGTGCCTGCGGCGCTGGTATCAGAAGAAAACATATCAGGCACCCGCGAGTGGCGCCGACGGCCACACCGGCCGCGATCCTGATCAGGGCGGCCTTCGATAACTCGGAGCCCGAGATTGCATCTTAGGAGCTAGGCGACACCGTGTCATGGGGTGATAGGACTGTGTCCGCTGTGTGTATGGGGTTGAATATAGCGGGTGAGGTTGGTGCTGCAGTGGGTGATTTCGGCGTGGTGGATTGCAATCTTTGTATAGTAGTGTCAGTCGATGTTTTAGGGAATTGGGTGCTTGTGCTTGTGGCTTTGACAGCGACACTCGTCTCAGTTAGTTTCGTCGAGGTGTCTGTCTTAGTCTTCCTTTCCAATTTCTCGGCGGTGGTAGCCTCCGTCTTGACCGAGGTTTCCACCTTCGTCTTGCTGGCCTCGACCACTTGGTTTTGGTGGTCTCCTCGACCTTCGTGTCAACGGACTGGACGGTGGGATCCTCCGCCGCCTGCGCGGTGGAGGTTTGACCTACCGTCGTCTCCGAGTTCCGTCCCCTTCGCGAAGAAAGAAGATCGGCGAGACGATGCTTTCCGCCCAGTACCCATAAATCGAAATTCCGGGTGTCGCAGACGTCGCATTACTTGGCGAACCAGTTCTTCAAGTTCGAGCTCCACTTGACGGTCCCGGTAACAGGCCGCTGGCTTGGTCAGGATTCTCCGGGAAGATCCAGTCGTCTTGCGATGCGGCCCGCGACTGTGCCGCCAGCAGCGTAATCGTCTTCAACGCGGCCTCGAGGAACAATAGCATGTTATGAGCGCGGGGCCGCAAACGGGCATGGAAGGAAGCGAAGCGAATGAAAATTTTACAGTGACCTAGAAGGAAAAAAAGGAAAAAAAGAAAAAAAAGGAAGAGGAAGGAAGAGGAAGGAAGAGAAAGAAGAGAAGGCTTGTCCTTTATTAGTGCGCCAAGGATTGCTGGGTGTTGTTACTTGATATTCCTTGAGAAAGTTCATCAGTATAATAAGGACGGTTTCGCCTGTAGCCGCGCAACAATCGCCGTTCGTATCGGCATCGGATAGCTCGGGTAGCATCTACGCGCACATATAACGGATCCGACGCACCTTGCAGCATACCCTTGGGGGTCGCACTGACGCGGTACGCTGGGTTACCTTGTCGCCGAACAGCTAATTCGTGATCTCGGGTTCAAGACATCAAACCATCAAGCTATAGGCTGTCAATATAGACGCCTTATTCCGTACAGCAGACACTCAATATTGGGTTTAGAGCGTGAAGTCTCGCGTTCTATAGCAATAAGCGTGTTCTTACTGGCATTGGTGTCATCGCTGTTTACGTCTCGCAGGCACCGGGGGAGGACATTTCAATTGCACTCATTCGAAGTGAACTGCGAGTACGACCGGAACTGGATAACACTCCATGGATAGAAGATTCTCTGGCTGGCGCCAGTCAGACTTCCGGGCATTATGATTATATTAGGTATAGTTCAGTCGACAGTGGCTACAGGGTGAGGTTTAGGTAGGTAGGCCTCCCTTTCTTTCTTTTTTCCTCCAAGGCACAAACCATACTCTGCCACCAGCCTTACTTTCAAATGTGGAGATCTGAGGTTACCTACATTTTCATGAATATCTCGTGAATTTAATGCATTGTCGCTTAGGTAGGTAAAGCAAGACGGTGTGAACCATGGAACACCCGATGATTACATAACGCATCCAACAGAGGGGTCATCTGAATTATGTAATCCACCCAATAAGTAACAAGTGGTCTTCTAATTAGCAGTCAACTCATGGTCACCTGTACAGTACCTAGGTTAGGTATTAGGTTACCACAATGTCCGATTCAACGCCTTTGAAAGTCGGGCATTTCCAGACCCTGGACTTATCGGCCGACGATGAAGTCATCATCCAAGACCAGCTCTATGGCAGCCACACAGTATCGGAGCCGGTCCTTAACGACCTCCTGCGTTCGCCAGCCCTAGCGCGTCTCATAGGCGTGCACCAACACGGCATTTCGGCGTTTCTCAACTTCACTCCCCCCATCACGCGGTTCGAGCACTCCGTCGGCGCACTCCTGCTCGTGCGCCTCGTCGGCGGCGGCCTGGAGGAGCAAGTCGCGGCCCTGCTCCACGACGTCAGCCACACCGTGCTGAGCCACGTCGTGGACTTCGCCCTGGCCGAACCCGGCGAGGGCAGCTTCCACGAGGTGCACAAGATGCGGTATGTCGGAACAACTCATATCCCCGACATCTTGGCTGCCCACGGCTTCGGCGACCTGCGGCCCCTGGACGAGGCGCTGTACCCGCTGGTCGAGCGGCCGGCGCCCCGCCTGTGCGCCGACAGGCTCGACTACGGGCTGCGCGACGCCGTCGGGTTCGGCCACCTGTCGCTCGCGGACGCGCGGCGGGTCGTCGCGTCCCTCGGGGCCTTTCCCGACGCGGCCGCGCCGGACCGCCTGCTCGTGCTGCGCGACCGGGAGGCGGCGCTGGGGCTGGCGAGGGCGTACGCGGCGTGCGA